GCAGTTGATCCTTGGCATGTATATGCAATTGTGACACGAGCATATGTGTGTGTGTGTGTGTACATGTTTGATATATATCCTACACTGTGGTTCATACTCCGCCCAGGAAGCAGACGAAGGAGGATCGAGTCGCAAAGACGACCTTCCGCCGCGATGGTCCCGTCCGTGGTGACCCTAGCCACTCGTAGCAATTGCTGTCCGAGCACGCCTGGGTTATGATTAATGTATTGCAGCCCCAGCCAAGCCTATAAACCCCGGCACCGATGCATTTGCAAATGCCAACCCGAAACCCTGATCCCGAAACTTCAAACCCTCACTAAGTCCCTTAAACCCCATAGTCAGCCCGTGTTGAACTTTCAGTTATGGTAAATGAACCTTACCTACAGCCACCATGGAATCCTTGTAGCTCCAGAATGCCTCCGTCAAACCCCAAACCGAGGATCCCTAAACCCTATACAGCCCTATATGGCAACCCCTGAACAGAAACCTTATCTACAGCTGTTCTGTGCCTCCTAGCACCCTCGGATTGCATGCACCGAAGATCGCAACACCCTCGTTCTCAATTCAAACCCAAACCTTGAACAACCCTGTTATCAACCTAGCTAGCTTGTCTGCTTTTGCAACCCTACAATAGTCTTAGTTTATCCTTTTTCTTAAAACCCAATCAAAACCCTGAACAACCCTGTATCCCTTCCCAAATCCATAAATGCAGCCAGTGCCCAGGTCGTGTGGAGACACAAACGTACGACATCGAAGCCGTTGCCGAGCGCTGGCAGAACGCCGGCAGCGTGGATGGAGAGTTGGTGGACCTGGAAACCGAAGCAGCTGTGGCTTCGGAAGCTTCTGGGTCTTCTGGGGATTCGGACAAGTTGCCCCTAAAGAGGTTACCGGATCCTGAGGCTGCACGCGACCCCGAACCTTCAGAGTCCCGTGGTGTTCATCTTGCTAGGGCAAAAAGCTTTGCTGAACGTGCGCAAATGTATGACATGAAGGCAGGGGGCTTCGGAGTCGCAAGAAGTATAGTATTCAGGGTGTCAGGTTTTTGGAGTGATATGATAGGTGTGTCGATCTGTGCTAGCTAATGTGCACATTCCCTAAAGGCGGCGGCTGCTGAAGTCTTGACAAAGGAAAAACAGGATGCCATGATGGAAGCAACCAAAGCCAACGAGGATGCAAAGCCAGGTCACGGGCGGGGAGGTCGTGGAAGGGGGGGCAGAGGAAGGGGTGGACGAGGACGTGGAAAGACCCCCTTAACTGCTGATGATGAGGAGGAGGCGGAGCCCGAGCCGACCGAAGCCAAGCCATCCAAGAGGACCAAGAATGCAAAGAAGCATGCGTCGGAGCCAGCCGAGCCAACCGAAGCCCAGCCAACCAAGAGGACCAAGAGGACCAAGGATGCAAAGGAGAGCGCACCGCCTACCGAGCCAACCGAAGCCAAGCCCGCCAAGAGGACCAAGGATGCAGAGGAGAGCGCATCGCCTACCGAGCCAACCGAAGCCAAGCCCGCCAAGAGGACCAAGGATGCAGAGGAGAGCGCATCGCCGGCCGAGCCGAAGGAAGCCAAGCCCGCCAAGAGGACCAAGCATGCAGAGGAGAGCGCATCGCCGGCCGAGCCGAAGGAAGCCAAGCCCGCCAAGAGGACCAAGGATGCAAACGGGAGCGCATCGCCGACCGAGCCAACGGAAGCCAAGCCCGCCAAGAGGACCAAGGATGCAAAGGAGAGCGCGCCGCCTACCGAGCCAACCGAGGCCCACGCACCCAAGCCGAGGAGAGGCCGGCCACCCAAGGCCGGCGGGACCAAGGATGCAGAGCCCCCCAAGCCCAAGAGGAGCACACCAGCGAAGGATGCTGCTGAGCAAACCGAAGCCCCAAAGGCCAAGAGGACCAGAACCAATGTTGCAAAGGAGAATGCTGAGGCTGCCGAAAAGGAGGCCAATGCATCAAGCAGTGCCAACTCCGATAAGAAAGCCCAGCAGGCCCGCCGCAAAGCTATCCGAGATGGCCTGGACATGCCTGTGTATTCGTTTGTGGATATCGACTTCTACTGGAGTCGCAACGGCATGGGTGTGAAACTTCGCAACTGTGCGAATGTGGAGGAACAGGGAAAGCAAGCCACCCGGATGTACGAGGATTAAGCTCTCTCTCCCTCTCTGTCTATATATATATATACATACATATATATTTACACACATACATATATATACAAAACTACACATGTACATGTATATATATATATATATATGTCTATGTCACAACTATACATTACGTGGCTCAAACCGTACGCAAACGCTGTCCTTGCAAATCATGTTGTAAGATCTCGGTTATCACACACACATGTATACACATATGTACGTGAGAGAGAGAGAGAGAGAGAGAGAGAGAGAGAGAGAGAGAGACAGAGAGAGAGAGAGAGAGAGAGAGAGACAGTGTGTGTGTGTGACGAAACATGTCCTGTTCCAAATATTGGTCTGAGACGGCAGGGCTGTGTAGGATTGGAGTGTGACTCTATACTATAGGGGTCAGGGTCAGGGTTTTGGGGGTTGAGGGTTTATGGTGAGGTTGTGATGCGGTACCGTGCATGGACCCTATATATTCTCTAAATCCTACATAACCTCTGCAATCAATGAGCCCATCGCCAACCCGAGCCGAGGTTCTCTACTTGGGCTACAAAGGTGTTGCCGAGCACACTGCGATGATCACGATGTGGAAGTTTGCAAGACCAGCAGCTGTTTGTCTACAAATTAAACCATTCATTCCCACCATCCTTAGAGATTCAATTCACAAAATCCCCTGCCTCTCTGAGGCTGATCTCGTTGAAAAGGCGAAGGGCCACCTGACGCCAGCACTCGTGGAGAAGCTGGCAACGATTAAGGAGGACTTTGCAAACAGGTCCGAGGTCTAGTGAGTCGAGTGAGCCTGGCGAACGGTTCCGATACCAATGGTGCTTGTGTGCATGGTGCTGAAGCTTTTATTCAAAGCTGTCCTTCAAAGGATGCAGTTGTGATTCCAGCTGCTACAATATGCCAAAGGCAATGCAGCAATCATGAAATTCAGTATGCATCAGAGCACAGCTCTTCAGTTTCAACGAGCAACGGAGGGCAGCCTGAAACAATTCTCAGAACTGCTTTTGCACAGCCTTGTGACCTGGAGCTGCAAGCTTGAAGATTGCCTTTCGTCCTTGATGATCCCCTTACCAAAATATGGATGCATTTGTCTCCCAGGTCCACACGATGCCCTTCCTCATGCACGCCGTGAAGTTCGGCCAGAACAAAAGAGATGGTGCGCCCCCTCCCGCCTGTGCAGTAAGGTTTTGATCAAGCCATGTACCCAGGAAGCCACTGAAGCACCGAAAAGCCCGACAATAGAAACCCTCGAAGCCCCATGTGTGCAGCCTTCCGAAACCGTGTTCGCGAGTTTCGTCCGGCTCAGGCTAATTGAGATGCAGGTTTCGCCGTTTGAGCACAAGCATCGCCAGAAGCATAGCCTACACGCACATTCTGTGTAAAAGTAACAAATCCTGTCTCTAAACCCTTAACACCGGAACTGGTTCTAAAGCCTTTTATGTAAGCCCTTTCAGACCCATAGATAATTTTGTAGAAGCCCCGTGCATAACCCCCCCTCTATATATATATATATATATATATATATATATATATACCTATATACACACTAGAAGCTGCCCCCACCCTGTAAGAGTGGTATAATAGGAATATAATAGGGCCCTAATATAATCCTATATAACCCTTATGGTCACTATTACAGGGTGGTGGCAGCTTCTAATATATACACATATATATATAAGCCCTATGCAATCCATTCCGGCTGATACAAACCCTGTAGACCATGAAGAATAACAAACCCCAGCTTCGTGGGGTGCTCACTTTGAAAGCTTAAGTCCCGAGACTTCCCACTGCCTTCAAGATGGTCCAGCCGTCAGAGATGGATGCAGTGGTCGCCAGGCTCATCCGATTGGGCTCGCCGAAGGATCCTCGGCTCCACAAGTTCATGTGCTCAGAGTCCCCAGATCTATGCTTTCGAGGCATTCGTCATGTTGGTCCTGTTGTGCTCCTGGCTGAACTTTGCTCAACTCGGCCACAAGTCATACGACTTGGTGGAAGCTTTTGCTGGGCGTGCAGAGTTATCACGATCGTGTCGCAAGTGCAACATACATGCAGCAGCTGCTGACCTTTCCTATGATACCCACGCATTCAGAAAAGGGGGGATGGATTTAACAACACCCTCAGGCTTTGTGTCTCTTGCCAGCAGTCAATGCGACAACATGATGAGTGAGACAAGGTTTTTGCTGACGGTCCAAACCGATCGGTGTATTCAGAATTGTACCCACAACCGAGGCTGCTGGTTCTTCTTGTACTCAGACTACGCCTTGATTCATCCATGGCATTCTTCGCCATATGTTGCTCTTCCTTTGTGACAATTTCCCGAAGTACCACGGGCAGGTCGATTCTACTACCCCTGGGGAATACGGCATTTGCGAAGGTCAGGACAGCCAACCTTCTCGCTAGCAGGCATTGCTTTGAAAACCTTGTTATGTAAACGATCTGTTGAGTTGCTTTGTGAGGGGATGCCTCTGTTTTGTGGGTTTTGGGTGTTTCGGGAACTTGCTGTTGTGTGGATTCTAGATAGGCTCTCGTGCTGATCAGGGATTTGGATTCTTCATGTTTTCGATCAATCCTTATCTACGACCTTGGCTTGGGGTTGGGGGCTTCAGGGGTTGGGGAGATGCTTTGTTGCAGTCTGGCTGCATCAATTACCAGCCCAACCGCAGTCTTTCAGGCTTGATTAGAAAGGATTAAAGGGTTTATAGGGGTTTTGGGGTTCAAGGTTTCAATACCGACCAATCAAGGGTATACAGCGACATAACTTAGCCCCTGCTTAAGCACCCATCTCTTCCATGCTCCCTGACGCGAGACTTAGCATGATTGAGCCCTTGCTTCAGCACCCACCCCTGCTTTGCCTCAACCCTCGGACTAGACAAAACCCCCAACCTACTCCGTAATGTAGCGCGCGATAACACTACAATCGCGACAAAACCAGTGGATGTGCTTATACTTCTTAGCACCAATTAACGAATCGCCAAGGAATGCTACTCGTTCCTGTGTGTATACATGTCTGTAGTACCTTTAGTCCATATTTGCAAAAAAAACAAAGCATGTTCAAACCGTAAATCCCCTGCAGACTGGCTCTGCTGCTGCAGCTCGCCGTGGCCGTCGGTGCCACATGGGTGGTGGAGCAGCCTCGAGGAAGCTTGCTCTTCGAGCATGACCGACTTTCAGAGTTGGTGGAAAGTTGGATGGGGAGGGTCAACGAAACCAGGCTTTTCAAGATTCTGGCTGATCTGTTTTGCACAGTGGCTGGAAATGTGTGGTACTGTAGCTGTGCAGCTGCTGATAAACGCATTGCCCTCCAAGGTATTCAAGCAATCTTTCTGGATGATGCACTTCAAGGCTCCGTCTCCTAAAAGGACATTCCTATGGAGCAACTCCTCTTCGATACGACGTTTCGACTATGGCAAGTTAACACGTGCTCAAATGCAGCGACAAACACGGTTGAAGACTGTTGTTCGTGGGCCGACGAAGAGGGGGCGGGCTGGGTTTACAGGGACTCGATCCTTGAAGTCGACACAGCAGCATCCTCAATTGCTTCGTTGTGAAGATGTATGTCTAAACATGGCTGTAATACTGTAGAGCTATAGCATCCTGTTCGAAGAAACACTGCACTTGAGGACGTACACATTCCATTTTGCCCGCAAAGTGATCCAGACTATGCCTTCGTTGACCGACCCCAACACCAAATCTGAACCCCCTGCGACTCTTCTGCATTTCTGTGTTGCAGGAACAAGTATATAGCCCCTTTGTAGCTCCTTGCTGCCGAGACAATTGCCGGCCTGAACATCATGGAGGAGTTCGGGAGCATGCCGCTGGGTGACCTCTGGCACGATGCAAAGTTAGTGGATGCCATCTACTATGTGAGGGGTAGCAAGTCTTTGAGAATCCCAAATGAAGAATGGCGACGTGTGTTGCCAACCCTGCTCTGAAACAAACTGTTGCCATGGTCGGTTACTGGAGTTAGACTGTACACCTAACAGCTACAGATTCAGGTTTGGCATGCACACCATGGGGCAATCGATGAAGACTCTTAGATGGGTTCTTATTGTTCTCGAAAGGGAGTAGTCGGGGCTGGGCTCGGGGTTCGGCAGGCTGCTAAAGCTCTATCGATGAGTTTGGGGGCTGTAGTTGTGTGTGTGGGGTGTGGGTGTGTTCGGTTCTGTTCGTTTCTCTTCGGTTCGGTTCGGGTTCACCCCGGGACACCGCAACCCGTACACGCCTGTAGTACCGACAAAACAACCCGTACACAGCTGTACCCGTACATAGGCCGGATTCTCCCAACAAAAGGCCGAAAATAAGCGTGCACCGTGCTCGGGCGTACACGCCCGTACACGCCCGTACACGCCCGTACACGCCCCTACGTGCCTGTATGCTTTGTAAACGTCCCTTACACTCTTTGGTGGTACCCCGCAGCCAATTCTGTGTACTCCCCACACAAAGTGCCCCAGAAACCCAGTATTGTAGCCATGCCTAGTTCAACGCTGGCCGTGGTTGTTTTAGACGATCTAGCTAGCATCCCAGCTCGTGCCTTTGTAGTGGTAAATGCAAGTGTTCTGTCGTGCTCCAGCGATCAGCAGCCTTGCACAACCCTCCAGACTGTGCTATGTGATGTGTCGATAAGGAAGTTCCTGCAATCCTTGAATTTTATGTTCAAAACCCAATGCTAGATTTGGAAAAGCTATATACACTGCACCCAATAGAGATGTATAAACCCGATAATTATTTCTCATATTTGGTACAAGAGTTACTAGTACTCCGTAGCAAAGATCCCACCATGGCAAAACGACTTCGGAGCTTGGGTTCGTGTCTCTGGGAGACAGACGAAGAGGTCACGTTCGAGGATTGGCTGGCCTCGCAACCGGCTGCTTGTTGCTGTGGCAAGGATGCGCAGATAAGGAGTCTTCAGCAGGAGATTGAAAATCTACGTGCCCTTGCCCAAGACCTGCATATCCGATTGAAAGTGGCATCCCTTCCTGCAGTGCCTTCCAATGAGCTCACAGTGAAGAAGCCCGGTATGTCCCGAAAACAAAACCGCGACCCTTGGCACTGGCTTACTCTGCTGCCTGAGACGGTTACAGGTTTGCCTAGAATGCTGGATGACATCATACCATCTCTTCGAAGCACGTCCTTCGCCAACAGCCGTGTGGTCTTCGACCTATGTGGGGCTACTGTACCCTCTGCTATCCTGGACCACTGCGAGATCTCCATAAACTCCGTATTTGGCAAATACCCTGCCATATACAAGATAGGCATAACTCGCAACCCAGTCGAACGTTGGCAGATCGGATATGTCAAAGACACCACCCAAGCCTGGTCAGAAATGAAGGTCCTGGTAGCTCTGAGGGATCCAGTCGCTGTGGGATTCGTAGAAGCCGCCCTTATCCGCCGTTACCAGGGCAGTCCGGGTAATATGAACATCAGAAGGGGAGGGGAAGGGGTTGACCTTTCAGGTGCTGGGCCCTTTTTTGCATATGTGGTTTATCGTTGCCTTGTCCCACCGAAGTGTGCTTTGGCCAAAAGGACATAGCTGTGCTTCCCAATGTTAGGAAATAGTGTGTCTTGCAAGGTATGGCTGTCACTTTATAAATACAGAGCCGTGGCGAAGCTTCTTTGGTGGCTTAAATGCTAGCAACGGTACCTGTCACAATGACTGGTGTGTGCTTGCTCACACCGGCTTCGGGGCCTGCTGAAATCGTTTGTAAGTTGCATGCACTCTGCAAGGCTATTTGACTGAGTCCATATGCACACGGATTGGTGTTATCCCTGAATCCAATTGTTATTATCCGTTCATCTGCAGGAGGCCCCGGTAATTATTTTGCCCTAGGTACTACTGAGTGCCGATTTGGGCTTCTGAGTGCAGCATGGATTATCGTTGCACCGAATCCAGCATGAGAGAAGTTTAGTGGGCCAGCTGTGTCAGCTTGCGATGAACTAATATACCACATGCATAGCCGGCATAGTCTTGACTTGCCTCACATGCAGCTGCTGAGTCATGCCCCGTGCCTGATATTGCCTGGGATCCTCAAGGATTTTTCGTGCCTAGCTGCTTTAGCAAGGGGGCCTTTCGAGGCTCGTCTGATCATGTCGGAGGCCCCACCTGAGACGAGACACCTTGTGTCGAAGTCTTTCAGCACGGCCACTTTGCAGGAAGCGCTTTCCTTGGTGGACCAGCAGCAGGTCAAGGACGAGCAGATTGATGCTGATATCAAGGTGGGCACATTGAGAGGGTGTTCTATTCGGTTCTTTCGGTATCTTGAAGATCGTTGCCGAATCTATTGGGTCTGAGAGTGTGGTAGTACAGGGTTCTTTGTGTGGGATGATCGATGCTTGCATGGAGTGTGCTGCTTCGGCTTGAAACTCATGCAGGGGATTGCTTAGAGCCAGTTGTTTTTTGAACTAGAGGTTAAACTAATGAACAATTAAGTGCAAAATGAACCATTGCATATAAACAATAATGCACATACACTCATATACATTATATATATATACATATATATATACACATGGTCATCCCACCCAAAGCTCGATGTAGAGCTTTAGCACTGCCTGGCTTCCTGAACACCCAGACCGGTACGGTTACCTACACAGTCTATTCTACAACTTATACACGTTGTCTTACATGTTACGTAGACAAATAATGAGGCCTCATAAGTGTACATATGTATATATTGTATGTGTATATAAATACAGTCTAAAGGACTCCAAGACAAAACCCTGGCTTTGAGTGTTGATGTTTTGGCTTGTACAGGGTATGCATAGGAGGTGGTCCGGGGCCTAGAGGAAGTGTAAGTAAGGTGTCCCGACTATAAACAAACCCTCTTTTGAACCCCTATAAAGGCCCCATGCAAGCCGACTATAAACAAACCCTCCTTTGAACCCCTATAAAGGCCCCATGCAAGCCCTAAGAAAATCTCGAGGACAAACCAGCAATTCCCAGGTGGTGTAGGGTTTGATGTAGGGTTTGCATGTGGTCTAAGGTTTCTACAGGTGTGGATTCCATACTAATTATATGCTTGAAGTAGTCCTACCCGACCAATCCCGGCCCTAACTTGTCGACCTAAGGCCCAATTACTCCCTGAAATCCACAGTGACTGGCAGGCCCTCGAGGCTGAAATCGAGCGCGAGGAGCTCAATGCGAAGCGTGGCACGAGGTGCACGCCGGTGGCTGGGGCCACTCCTTCACCTCAGCCCACACTTAAGAAGCACAGGGCACAGATGGACTCCGGGGACCTGGATTGTGTGCTGTTGGAGAATGATGATGTGCTGCTCACAGCACTAAAGGATCAGCTCGGCAGCCCCTCCCCAGGCCCAGAAACCAAGCAGATGATGAACCCTATCCTAGAGGATGGATATGACATGGATGTCTCGCCTGCAAAGCTCTTCCTGAGTCCTTACAAGCCCGAGACTCCGACTCCGTCGAAGACAACCTCGAAGACTCCATCGAAGACTCCTGGTCCCTCGAAGACTCCCTCGAAGACTCCTGGTCCCTCGAAGACTCCCTATGATCCCGTGGCAGATGCCGAAACCCAGCCTGGAATCACCCCAAAGCGGCACATCCACTTCATGGACACCATGGTGACGTCTCCTTGCCCACCGACCGAGATGGACCCCTATGATGGCCATGTAGCAACCTTTCCGAATTTAGATAGCCTGTCACGAACTAGCAACCCAAAGCCGAGTCACTACATCACCAAATCCAAAGCCCACGATCCCAGGTTGCATCGCCGCCGGTTGCAGTGGATCCTGGGATGGCTTCAAGTGCTACAGGCCTTCCGAAGCCTTCGGGAACTTCCATGGTTCACTCACAAGAGACCCCGGGGATCCTTTCCCTCCAGCAGAAGTTCGAGGCCTTAGGGTTACAGCTCGATTCGGAGGAGGGTGCAGTGGTGAAAGCTGCAGGGCAGATGGCAGAGGGCAATGGCAGCACCGGTGGTTCAAGTGAGACTTCCAAAGATGCTGAGATTGCCCAGCTGAAGCAAATGCTGTTCATGATGAATGCCAAGCTTCATGCTGATCATGGCCCCAAGGCTCAGATTCAGCGTGAAGCTGAGAAGGAAGCGGCACGTGAAGCTGCACGTGAAGCTGCTCGTGAAGCTGCACGTGAAGCTATGCAGTCTGCCGCTGAGGGGCAGATGGCTGCCAACGGAGCAGCCAAGGCCGAGCAGGAGGACCAGGTCGCCCTGCCAGCAGCGAGGCAACGATTGAGGAGGCTTTGTGCCCCTCGTGCTAACGGCACGTATGCTGTTCCGAAAGAGGTGGTTGACAAATACGTGGCTGGTGGCAACGAGCGCGAGGGCCTTCTCAAGTTGCTGGTCAAACACAACTTCCAAAAGGATTCTCACGGTGCATGCTATAGCTGTTGAACCTAGTTGTTGGTCATTTCCGATCTTTGTGCTTCAGTTCTTTGTTTGCTGAATGATACATAGAATCATCTGTATGTACAGGAGAGCTTCATCAAGGAGGTTGTTGTGCTGACCCAGAAAGAGAAGGCCGTATCGTTGGAGATTACCGGGGATTACTATACGGAGCAAGAGATGAAGGACATGAATGTGCCTGAGCCACTTGTTGTTGAGTCATTAAGTTTAGGGGGCTTGGGCTGTTTGTTGCCTTAATCTGACAGACTTGACAAGACCGACTGTAGACCTTCCGAAATCTAAGGGAACGCATCCGTGACATCATCGCCTTTGGCGATGCCAATCCACAAAGCTTCAGACGTGCCCCACAGCATGCAATAGATGATGTCTATAGAACCCTAGCCCTAGCTAGCTTCAACAAACCCCAACAACTAAAGTCCCACTTCATCCCAGGCTGACACCTACAACAAGAAAAAGCCGATGAAGTATTGGATGGAAACCAAATGCTCGGCTAGCATGCGGCAGTCGCAACTTGTTAGGGAGTCCGAGACGGTATCCTTCGAGCAAGAGGTCGGTGGCGAAGGCAACGAAGTGGAGCTGGGCAAAGATGTCACCTTCGATCTTTCGGGCTTCGATGCCACCATGGGTGACCAAAAGGTCGTGGGTGGAGGATGCTAAGCAGTACCGGCATTGTCAGGGTTGCATCATCATATGTTACTATATCTCTGCCTGGGCCTTTCCTAAGGAGCTCCGGGTCCTGACGATGATCTTGGGTTGCCTTCGATTGAAGGCAAGCGACCCCAGGATCTTGCCAACACCTACAAGAATGCTATCCAGGTTCGGTCCACCAAGATCGCCGAGGCTTTGGGCCGTTTGGAAGCCACCCCTGTTTCCGAGCGCAATAACAACATCAATTCGTGCCCCGCCTTAGATGGTTACAAATATATGGTGGGTTTCATTTGATCTTTCACTCCTCCGCATTATATACTAGAACCACCTAAGGATTTTCCGAGCCCGAACCCAAACCCTGCCATTGAACACTATACCAAGCCACACACTACCCCGAGCAAACCCGAACCCGGTCAAATGTACCCAATCCAATGTGAAGACTCAAAGCCTTCATGCGCACAGTGTGTGTTGACCCCTAACCGCGACAGTTAACATCATCTCAGTCATATCCCAAAACCAGATAAAGACTTTTCGATCAATGCTAAACCCCCTTATGTGGCAGACTTATGTGTATGTATGTCTGTGTGACCCCAGCATTATATAAACCCTTAAACTTATATCTCAGCTCCGAATCACCAATGCATACAAAAATAACCGGTGATCCCAATCAAGACCAATAGCAAACCGCCAAATCGTAAATGTGTCATATGGTTACTGAGGCCTTGAATCAACCCTCGAATCCCGACCCGAGCTGCTGCATCATCTATGCGAAGCCGAGGCTGATTGAGAAGCTGCAGAACTCCATCAAGAAGTTTGATGAATGCTACGACAAGATCGATGAAACCTACTGCGATGGTGCAGTGGAAGGATACACAACTGCAATGTTGCTAGGCAAAATTATCAATGTTGAACTCACACTTGCAGCTCATGTTCATACGAGCTCCTGGTGCTACGGCTTCTGGGGTTCTTGATTAGTTCTGGACTTCATGTGTGCTCAGTACGTGAACAGCATGCACTGGTACACACAAACACACACACACACACACACACGCACAACTAGAGATGCATGTGCTCCGAGGCTGGACAGCCTCAAGGACTTCTACAAGAAGGCCAAGCGCACGCAACGTGGCTCAATCCGGTACTTTGCTATGTGCGAGTATTTCTGTGCTGAGTGCTGTGTACCATTCTAGTGGGCTGTATATACTTTCACTATACGTACATCCGAGGGCCCTCGAGAGTGTGAGTCTTGAGCAGCGGGCAAAAGCAGCGGCACCGAAGCGCAAAGCGCAACCGGATGCAAAAGCAAAAGCTGCTGCAGCAAAGCAGGCACCCGGGCCAAAGGCCGATCCGAAATGTGCTCCGAAACGTAAGACCGGAAAGCAGTCTGCGTAGAGCGACCGTCGTGTGATCGAGATGGGAATGCAGGCAGCTTAGGAGGGACCGTGGGCGGTCTTTCATGCTGTGCAGTGCGAACCTGTCCGATGCCGGGTGATGAAAAAGGATGTGCCATGTATGCACGCTGAGGCACAAGTGTTTCGATTCGATTAACATGGTTTCGGCAAGGATGCACACACATACCAAGTGTTTCGATTTGATTAACATGGCTTTGGCAAGGATGCACACACACACAAACCTGTATAAGCATGTGCATGCCCCTACGCAGGATGGACGCCGGGGCCAACGGCTCGCAAGCTGGTTACCTCACTGGCAATGGGAGCAGCTTGTCGTGAACAGCAGGTGTTTAATGGGATACACACGGTATGATTTCAAATTGTTTCCATTCTTGAGCATAGGTGATTCCTATAGATTCTGCGAACATAAGGATACGGCCGCAAACGTGGTTCGCTTTGCCAAAGCTATTGAAGAAGAGCAGCCATTGCTCTTGCAAGGGGTGAAAACACTATCAGCATCGACGTTGCCACACGCCGAGACTGGGCTGCACCGGGTCATTCGGCAGTGGGGGCTTTCTCTGCCCATCGACATGTACTATTTCAGCAAGGGCATACTTTTCGCTCCAATGTGCAAACCTTCGAAAGTGCTCGAGTATTACTTGTGCCGGAAACCAGGGGTGCTTTTCGGCGGGTTCCCCCGTGGTCACCCTGGTCTTGATACATTCATAGAAGCTTTTTGGGCAGCCTACCAATTGGAAGACGGTGACCACCTCGTGTACCAAACTCACGGTCACCGTTTAAAACGCTGCTTCCCCGTGATGCTTTATGCCGACGAAGGTCGCGGCCTTCGCAAAGCGCCGATTCAAGTGGTCGGGCTAGAGACTGTTTGGGGACAGAAATCATTTGGCAATTGTCAAAAGCTGGCTGAGTCAAAAGGATGGACGTTCGAGACTTGTTGGCAGGGCTCAGACCATACGGGGCGGGGCAACTCTCTCGTGTCCCGGCTGCTTTTGTATGTGCTTCCACACAGAGCATATAAAAAGAAGCAGAAGCAATTCTGGTTCGACGTATTCGGTGCTGCTGTTCAGGATTTAGCAGATTTATTTACAAGCGGAATCCAGGATGCATCGGGAGAGGTTTGGTTCCCGATTGTTATCGGGATGAAAGGGGACTCCCCTGCCTTGAACAAGGCTGGACAGTTCACTCGCAGTTTTCAACGAATCCAGGGATCATGTGGAGTATGCCACCTTTGTTTAGCAGGAAAACCAGGCAATGGAGCCTGGGAGGACATGAGTTCATCGGCACCATGGTTGGACACACTGTTTGCTGAAAGACCTTGGACTCGTCGAAAGCCATCGTGCCTCTTGCCGATACCTTTTTCATTGCAAGCGCCGGAGAAAATCTTTAGGTCAGACTGCATGCACTTGGTGAAGCTCGGAATAGCTCGACATTTCATTGCTTCAACAGTGGTGGCACTGGGTGATTGGGGCTTCATTCCTGGTACAGACGACAGTGTGGCGGCACTCCTTGAATTATCACACGATGACTTCGTATTTTGCTGCCGGCATGAGATCAAACAAACACCCAACTTGAAGATGTTTTCGAAGGAAGGCTTTCACTGGGGTCGCCGCACTTGTTTTCCATATGGTGGAGCCTGGTACATTTCGTTTTTGTTCGTTTGGGTTTCTGTTGCTTCGATATAAGTAGTAAATTTCGTTGCACTTCCCGTTTGCAGTGCTTCCCATGTAAGGATGGAAAGCGGCTGATTCAATGATGCTTATGCGATGGCTGCTGTTGCTGCTGAGACATGGGCCTGTCTTGCCAGACGGGTCTGGACGTTCCGGGCGCACGTGGCTTCAGGATCCTGAGAAAGGTGAGATTTGCAGAGCCATTGAGGATGCTTGTTGTGGTTGTCTTCGTTTCTTCCAGATATTGCACAAGAACGGCTTATGGCTTTCTCGCAGCGAAGCTGAATCAGCAGCCGCTTCGGTCGAGCTTTTCTGTGCATGCTACAAGCATCTTGCTATGGAGTTTTTCCGGATGGGGAAATCTTTGTACCACCTCGAACCGAGTTTGCATATGTTCAAGCACGTGCAAGTTCGACTGGTACGCATATTGGCTACCGGAGCGCAGGCAATTATGTCCCCGGCTGCTCATTTGACTGACATGAGCGAAGACTTCGTTGGCATATGCTCGCGAATTTCACGGCGTGTTGCAGCACGTACATGCGGGCAGCGCACAATGCAGCGGATGCTCATCCGATACCACTTAGAGTTCGAGAAGCTGGGCATGTAGCTAATTCATTCCGAGCATCGAAGCTAGGCAGCTGTGAAGGGCCAGCAGTCGCCAGCAGTCGCGAGCAGCAGCCGCATGTTCTCTACAAACGACAAGTGCTACGACTACGAGTACCTCTACTGCTACTGCTCTTCGTGCTACGTATACTAATACTACTAGCACTTGTTACCCTTACCACTACCGCTACGGCTACTGCTACTGCTACACTACTACTATAACAACTACTACTTCCACTGCCACTACCACTACCACCACTTCTGAAACTGCTGCTGCTAATTCTGCTTTTGCTACTACAACTACGACTAATTACAACTTCTACTACTACTACTTCTGCTACTTCTACTACTTCTTCTTCTACTTCACTACGAGTAGCACCATCAGTACTACGACCACCACCACCACCACCACTACTAGTACTACTACTCTTATCACTACCCAGAACTGTCTGAACCCTCCAAGCTGCCTGTTCGATCGCTGCTTGTGGCCGTGGACACCGATCGAGCCGCTGGAAACACAGAGGTTGGAAAGGGGTTCTGGTTTTTTGTGGTTATTCAGCTTTCAGTCCTCAGTCAAGGGAAGATTTCGGAATCGAGGGCGAGGTCTCAAAGTCTTGGGTGGTGTGGTACGAATGTTTCTAATTCCTGACCCCACGAGTCCGAAATGTGTTCTGCACTTATATAGAGGTCTGAATCGTGTTTGAAGTATAAGTTGCACAGGTAGAGGCCCAAAAGTAGATGTTAAGGCATCCTCCCCTTAAGAAAAGGGTACTAGCCCAAATCGTGGTGCGAGAATCGGTACACCCAAATAAAAGGGGTCACGCCGAACACCAGGTAAACCCTAAACCCCGGCTTCTACTTCCCCTTCTGGGCCTTCACCTTTCCCTGCTCATAGAGGTCCTCCATGGCTTTCCAGGTGCCAGTGTCGCGGAGCTTCGGCGTCCAATCCGGCGGGCAAACCTGACCTCAGGGGTTTCAGGGGCTGTTTCGCATATGAGATTCAGTGTTTAGGGGCTTTTGAAGGGCTGTTTAGCATAATTATAGGGTTTTCGAGTTTTACGAGGTTTGTACAGGTTATGAGGAGACCTCAGGGCTCTAAGTGGGCTTTTGAATTTGGTGCATTCCTTTATGATTCGAGGAATACTCCTACCCTAAACCCCAAACCTCAAGCCCTAAACCCTAAAACACTAAAAAACCCTAAACCCCAAAAACCCTAAACACCCTAAACCCTACAAACCCTGAAAACCCTAAACCATAAGTCCCTAAAAAACAATAAAAAAAACCCTGCAACCCTAAACCCTAAGTTTTGGAGTCTCTGCGTCTTTGCCCCAAAGCCGGGCCTCTGGGGAGTGGCCAGCCGGTCTTCGGCCCAGGCCAGTGGATGACCTCGTTTTTGGAGGGTCTGAGAACTACAGTAGAAGCCAGAAAGTTGGAATATTATTATCGTAACCCCTTTAAGGTAAATTATAGGGGATCCTACCATTAATCCATATTCCAACTTTCTGGAGTTCCCTGTAGGGTAATTTACGGGGGTTGGGGGTTACGCTAGTTGGGGTTGAGGGTTTAAGGGTTTAGTGGTGTAGGGTGTGTTGCGTCCTAACTTGTTTTCTAGATGACCCAACCTTTCTAGGGCTCCAGTTACCTAAATAGCAGGCTACTGGGGTCTGTATAATATGGCTGGTAACCTACTATTTAGATATCTGGAGCTTCAGGGTTGCCATTTTTTCATGGGAGGGGTGGTCTGATAACCAGGGTTTAGGGTGTTCAGGGCTTTGGAATCTTGGAAATTAGAAAGTGGACGACTTCATCTTTAGGAGGGGGTGTCTGAGAACTGGGGTAATTTAGGGTGTTTAGGGAGTAGGCATTTAGGGTATTATCAAGGTTTCTAGAAGGGCTGGGGGGGGTTCATAACCTGAGTAGGAGTCTAAAAGTGTTCTACAAGGGCTCTCTACGGCATGTATTCTTTCAACGGGGTTCTTAGGAGCGCTAATATTCTTGAAAGGGCTCTTTCGGGACTTATGGGTCCAGAGGCCTTACCGGGGCTTCTTTAAAACAGGGTCCGTTCCAAGGATTTCTGCTAGAAGACGGTTTAGGGTTTGGGGTGCCTTAATGAATAGAGCAGGACTTTGGGGCAACCTCCACTAGCATTATAGCACTTAAGGAACCTCAGGGAGTAGTGTGGCTAACTAGTCGGGCCTCTCATAGATTTGCCTGATTTAAATTAAAATAGGGTTTGGGGGCTCATTATACTATACTTGTAATCAGGAACCCTCTAAATAGTATGGGTAGTTGTTAAGGCCACTGTTTTATACTTGGAGGTTCATGGGTAGCTACAAGTGGTGTTCGATGCCCCTGAGAAGGAGTTGGACTTATAGTTATAGTCACCCTGCTTATAACTCCACTTATAACTACCTATGAAACTCCAAGTATTATATAGGTTCCGAAGATAGGGGACCCTAATGTAGTACCCCAAATAGTAGGATCCTTATTGTAAGGATCCCCAAAATAAGGTACCCCTAATTTTCATCAGGAGCAAGCCATGAAGTTATAGAAGAGGGTTTGGGGGCCCACTACATTACTATACACCAACATAGTATAGTTAATTGTTCAGGCCCCTATAGTCTAGGTTTCTGTATGGGGTTGTATTTGCAATGAAGGGTGCTATAAGGCTACTATAAGGATTCTATACGTGTTAATTTGTTTTTCTGGGAGTGGTTAAATTGTGCCTTGAGGTTTAGGGTTTGGGGGCTTAAAGGCTGCTTTCACAAGTGATTCTGTCGGGCACTACGCCGAACTCTGCCCGCACAGGCGTGAAACAGAAACAACGAACATGGACTCCAGATAGTCCCGATCGAACATCCGCGAAGAACTCGCCCCCTAAACATCATCCACAGCTATGTAGAGCACCCATGAAGGTTTAGGGTTAAGGCCTTCGGGGGCTTCCTTTTGATACCAACAAGGGTAATCAACAAATGTCCCAATGTCCTACCGAGTGACATACAGGTCCCCAAATCCTGAATTACCCCAAACCGAGTGACATAGAGGTCGATGTAGTCCACGCCCAGCTTCCGCAAGGACTGATTGCAGGCCTTTCCGGCTTGCGTTTTTGGTGGGTTCAGGGGAGGCCATGGAGCAGGAAGTTTCGGGGTTTATGTGGGGGTTCCGGTTCAGAGGTTTAGGGTTTCTTCGAGGGTGCCTTTGCTGAACTGGAGTTACATGTGAGATTTCTGGTTAAAAGCACAGATCAGGTGTAATTAGGCTTGCGCTCGACCGAGCCTACAGCCTGCGGTTTAAAGCTCAAACTGAGTTGACGACACCTGTCCAAGCCACTCCAAACACCAAAACCGACGCCGAAACCTCAAACATAAATCCGGAAGAATCCTCACCGGCGGCACCACCTTGCGTCTAATATACAACATCCTGCATTGTTCAGAAAAGGAATATACTGAATAACACCTCTGAAATTCGCATTGTCAATAGGATTTCGGCCATCAGTCCTTAATAAACCCTAAACTCCGAAACCCTGAACCCTTATGGTCACACCAGAAAATAAAAACAACATAGACCTTGAACCTGAACCCTAAACTCCAGACCCTAAACCCTGGATGTTGAGCCGTACAACCTAAACTCCAAACCCTGGACCTTCACAACCTTGTAGACTGAACCCTAAACCCTTAAGCCTAATCCCAAACCCCTAATTAAGCCTAAACCTCTCAAGCCTAAACCCTAACGCCCTATAAAGCCTGAAACCCTAAACCCTGAACCCGAGAGCCTAAATCCTAAACCCTGAAATTTGAAGACAAAACCCTCAAGCTTAAGCCCTAAAGCCCTGAAGCCTAAGCCCTAAATCCCTGAGCCTAGCCTACAACCCTCACGCCTACACCCTTTAAACTCCACCAACTGGGGCCTTGATCGTACGGTCGTAGCCGTGGCTCGATCGCCAGACCTGTCAGTTTCCGTACCCAGGGCTAGGGTTTTAGGGGCTTAGGGTTGGGGGTTTTAGGGATTCAGGATTTGGGTTTCTGGGTTTAAGGGTGATGTCAAGGGCGTCTGGGGTTTACGATAAAGGGTTTACTACAAGAGCCACTATAAGGGTTCTGTAAGGCTGGGGATAGGGTTCACAGGTTTGGGTTTATTGTCTTGGGGGTTGAGGTGTTTAGAACTGTTTGGGTCTAGGATTCGGTTGTTGAGATCTATGTTTTGGGCTGCTGGTATGGCTGGTATGGACAGCAGCACGATCAGAAAACAGATCGACTTCGCAACATGAGTAGGTGCCATATAGAAGCAACACCGCACAGACTGTGCTTGATCAGATGTTCAAAGGGAGTCCAGTGATTGCAATCCTGCACGATCAGTGGCAATGGCAACGCAGATACAAATAGCCATCATCTTCGCACTCATCCCCGCGAGCCAGACTAACAGAACCACGAGGAACTGAGGTGTCGTCTGCCGTTGCTGTTAAAGCTGCCATTGCAAGTGGCCTCGTTGGCTTACTACAACAGAAAGCCCTTCATGGCCTGTACTCTTAACCCTACGCCCTTCAACCTAGTTGCCGACGCCCCGTGTCCAGTTCGTTCTTGCCTGAAGGGCTCTTCATGTGTATACTATGCATAGAATAGATAGACAGGTAGGTAAACAGATGGACAGATAGGTGGACAAACCGATAGACAGACGGACAGACACATAAACAGCTAAATGGATCGCTAGATAGAGAGATAGAGATAGATAGACTGATCGATAGACAGATGGATCATGCTCATATAGGGGCCTTAATAATTAGAACAGGGTTTTGGGGCCTTCTACTATAATTCTACTAAGGAAACACCAAAATAGTATAGGTAATTATTCAGGCCTCTATACCAAAGCCTTACAGTACAGTAGCCCTTATAGTAACCTTTATAAACCCTTTATAAGAACTCTTTAAAGGAACCCTTTTACTAAGGCCCCTTCTTTTAACCTCCAAGTAGAGACACACAGGGAGATGGCCATCAGACTGCTAAAGGC